AGTCGAGGGCACGGACGGCAACGTCTTGCTTCGGCGGGGCAAGTACAACGGGAAGGACGTCGTTATCCACCGCATGGGCTACACGGCCGACGAGGCGGGCTATGCGGCCGACGAGGAGTTTACGCAGCACATTGCCCGTGTCCTCAAGTATGTCCCTCCATTCCACAATGTTTCTCTCACGCATTTTGTACTAGAGCCCAGTCGGACGTCTATACGCCTCGAGTGCTCGGCCACGCCATTGTCAACAGCGACAAAATCGCCTGTGCGGCTTTTGGAGAAGTCCAAGAGACAGTGCCGTGCCTCGTTGTCGACCGCGACGGTTTGCGGTCTCTCCACGACGTCATCGCCAGCCAATGGCTGCTCGGGGACCCGCAACTGTGGAAGCGCAAGATCACGATTGCACGTGCGATTCTACTCGGCCTTCTCGACTTTATCGCGCGCGACGTTCGGCACGTGGACGTCACTGCACACAACGTCTTTTTGAAGCCCGACTTGGAGACACCCCAGTTTGCCAACGTCGGTCGTCAGAGCAAGAGTCCGGACGGTGTCTTTACCTGGTACCCTCCCGAGCTGCTCCCCGATGGCGTCGGTCTCACACCAACAACGGACGTGTTTGCATTTGGCACGCTTTTGTACGAGATCACGACCAACCGCGAGCCGCTTCGCGATGAAGACAGGGAGCTGGCGCTGCAAACGCTTCATGACCAGCGTGGCGCGAGCGGTGGCTGCCCGACGGATCTCGTGCAGTTGATTCGCGACAGTTTGCGCCAGTTGCCCGCCGAGCGTCCGTCTCTGGAAGACGTCCTAGAACGCCTCGATGGCTTGCTTGTGCCAACGTTGCCCACCGCCGACGCAGCGTTGATCGAATTCGTCGACGGCCACGTCCCGCTTGGCCAAGGAGCGTTTGGTGTCGTCAGACTGTGTCGGTACAAGGGCATGGAGTGCGCGCACAAGCAATTGTGTCGCCCCACGAATTGCACTGATCGCCAGTACTCGACTATCGTGAGAAAGTGCTACCAAGAGATGGAGGTCCTGTCAAGGTATATATTACACGTCTCTTCCTGGTCTCGATATCAATATGTCTCAATGTAGCCTCGACCCGAAGTACGTACCACGCTTTATCGGGTGTATAGCACCTGAGCACCCAGACCAACCACCCGCCTACCTCATGGAGGTCGTACCCGGCAACGACCTCTCCAAGGAACTCTGGCAGATCAAGCAACAAGCGACGTTTCCGTGGCAAGAGCGCTGCAAGATTGCGCTCAAGATCATCAAAGCGATCGAGTACCTCCATAAATGGCGAATCGAGCACTTGGACCTCAAGTCGTCCAACATCATGCTCACGCCCGAGAACGAGATTCGGATCGTCGACTTGGGCGAGTCAGTGCACACAGCCGACCCCAACAGCTACAACGAAGTCGCTGGCGTCGGGACATACCAGTGGATGGCACCCGAGATCCTTGCCGGCCGCACGGTCCACGCCACGAAAGCCGACATTTACTCGTTTGGCATCATCCTCTCGGAGATTGCGATGCTCGTCCAGCCCTACAGCGACATGGGGTTTGCAAATGAGTTTGTTTTAAAGAAGAACGTCGAGAGCGGCGTGCGGCCGACGATGGACCCGGCACTTCCTCACTGGATCCGAGACCTTGCGACGAAATGCTGGCACGCCAAGCCCGAAGATCGACCGTCGGCAAAAGACGTCCATGCCTACCTCGAAGATGTGCTGGCCCAGGATCGTTGCGCATCAACCAGCCCACCCCTTGGCACCTTCTTTGGATAGATGGAGAGAGTAATGTGAATCGTTACAATGTTCTGAAACTGAGTTCTCTTACCACTGCAACGCAATATATGTCACGTAGCTAGCAGAGTACTCTTGCGCAAGCACAGCGGTAAGCTAGGTCCTAGGCTTCGTGGGATTCATATCGCGTCAATCTGGCAGACTTTGATGGACCTTGCATGGTTAGCTTAGCTCGTAAGTCGAGTAGTTTTCAAAATACAAATGGTAGCACGAGTGGCGACTGCCCGACTGGGCTCGTGCAGCTCATCGCTGACTGCTTGCCGAAGTCGCCCACCGAGCGTCCGTCTTTGGACGACATCCTAGAATGCCTCGACGGCTTGCTTGAGCCAACGTTGCCCACGGTCGACGCAACTTTGTCCGAATTCGCCGAAGACCACGCTATGTTGGGCCAAGGAGCGTTTGGCGTCGTCAGACTGTGCCAGTACAAGGACGAGTTGTACGCACACAAGCAATTCCTTCGCCCCGCGGATTGCACTGATCGCCAGTGCTCGATTATGGTGAGAAAGTGCTAACGTTGCCAAGAGATGGAGTTCCTTGCAAGGTAGATATTACGCGTCTCTTCCTGGTCTTATACTGAGAGCTCTTATTGTAGCCTCGATGGGTGCACAGCACCGGAGCTCCCAGACCAACTGCCCAGTGTGGTGGCTTCCGCAGTGCAACGCAAACAACGCAGCGAGGGGAGAGCCATCTCCCAGGAAGCAGGCAGTTGTATTGTGTTACGCCACGAAGGCA